TGGCTCCGACCGCGGCGTGGACCCCGAGGCCCCGGGCGTCCCGGCGGCCACCGCGTCCTCCCCGCACCGATGGGGGGCGTCGGGGGGATGGAGGAGGGGGGAGGGAAGGATGAGGGATGATGGGGGAGGGAAGGAGGAGAGAGGAGGAGGGATGATGGAGGAGGGAGGAGGGAGGAGGGGAGGAGGGGGGAGCGGGAGGAGGGAGGAGAGGAGGGGGGAAGGAGGAGGCGGGGGGAAGGAGGAGGGGGTTTTTTCTGGAGGAGGGGGAGGAGGAGGGGAGAAGAGGAGGGAGGAGGGGAGGAGGGAGGAGGAGGAGAGAGGAAGGAGGAGGGGAAGGAGGGAGGGGGTGGGAGGGAGGAGGGGAGGAAGGAGGGGGGGGAAGGGGAGGGAGGAGGGAGGAGGAGGAGGCGGAGGGAGGAGGAGGGGCGGAAGGAGGAAGGAGGGGGGACGGAGGAGGGATGGAGGATGGAGGAGCGGAGGAGGAGGAGGGGGGAAGGAGGAGGGAGGGAGGAGGGGGGGCCGAGGCAGACGGGGGAGGAGGGAGGAGGGTGCCGCCCTCGCTCCGCCTCTGGGCGGGCCGCGAGCACGCGGCGAAGGGCGACGTCGGCGGGGCGCGGCGGGACACCCGTCCCAGCGCGCGTGCAGCAGCAGCAGCAGCAGCAGCAGCAGCAGCAGCAGCAGCAGCAGCAGCAGCAGCAGCAGCAGCAGCAGCAGCAGCAGGAGGAGGAGGAGGAGGGGGAGGAGGGAGGAAAGGAGGAGGAGGAGGAAGGAGGGGAGAGGAGGAGGAGGGGTGGCGGAGGAGGAGAAAGGAGGGGGAGGATGAGGCAGGAGAGAGGAGGCGAGAGCGGTAACGGACGGAGCCGGCAGGTGTACAGGAGCAGGGGACCAGGAGGATTCGGGAGGAATTGGGGCCAAGGGCATAAGGAGGAGGAGGAGAGCCTCCAGGATGATGATGATGAGATGATGATGATGGATGATTATGATGGATGATGATTGAGGGAGGAGGAGGGAGGCAGGAGGAGGAGGAGGAAGGAAGGAGAAGGAGGGAAGGCAGGAAGGGAACAAGAGGAAGGAGAAGAGGAATAGGATGAGGTATGAGGAGGAGGACAGAAGGAGGAGGAGTGAGAGGAGGAGGAGGAGGAGGAGGACCAGTGTAAACCCAAGACTCATCAACGATGTTGGAGTACACAACGATGTTGGAGTACACCCTCCCTCCCAGCTCCCTCTTCACAAGACCCCACAAGAAAAGTTCATTTTCATTGAGGGAATTCGCCGCTGGAGGACAACCGTGTGAACATCTTTACGCAATGCCACGAGTCAACCTGAGTGTTGCATTTTGAAGATCATGAATCGTGCCAGAACACCCTTCCCGGGACTTCAACACCGCGAGTCAACTAAATTACCTGGTGCGTCCTGCCAATCCTGAATCGCCCCACAACGCAATTTCTGGAATGCTAACCATGAGAACCAACGAAACTGTGACAATGCTTTGAAACGAATGTGCGCGGCGCTCAGGCGGGAACCACATCCTGAAAAATAATCGCCCTCAATCCATGAAGCTCTTGCTAAAAAGAGTGTGCGCGTCGTAAGGCGGGAACCACATTTTGAAAACGACATGTCCTCAATCCGTGGAGCCCTTTCAATTTTTACAAAGAATGCGTCCGGCGCTGAGGCGAGAGCCACATTTGAAAACGAGCTGTCCTCAATCCGTGAAGCTCTTGCATTTTTTAAGACGAGTGTGCGCAGCGCTGCGGCGAGAGCCACATTTTGACAGCGATCCGCCCTCCACCTGTTAATCCATTGCCAATGTTTAATAAGCTTCAGGCTCATGCTTGGTAACGAAGTCTCAGGCGAAACGACTGATCTGCCCTTCCGACTGGCCACGGGGTGCGACAGGGAGGAGTTATTCATACGGACAGGGAGGAGGAGGATGATGATGAGGAGGAGGAGGAGGAAGAGGAGGAGGAGGAGGAGGAGTAGGAGGAGGAGGAGGAGGAGGAGGAGGAGGAGGAGATGGAGGAGGAGATGGAGGAGGAGGAGAGGAGGAGGAGGAGGAGGAGGAGGAGGAACAGAGGGGGCAGGTGGAAGAAGGACTTGAAATGATGGCTTAGGGAGGACGCCTTGGCCCCCCCTTGGCGGGCCCGGCTGCATGGTGTCACCCGCCCTGGGAGGCACGGAGAGGGGTCGCACGCGGCCATCGCGGTTCACGCCCAGGGTCAGGGCAAGCACTGGGCGGAGCGAGAGCGGTTTGGGCACAGAGGTGGATCGAGGGAGCAGTCGAGGATCGATGGCTGTGAGTGTTCTTGGGCCTCCCGGAGCGCCCTCGCCGCCACGGCTGGATTGCAATCGAAGCTCTGGCCGGAATGCGGTTCTGGCGGAGGTCCAAGCCTTCTTCTTCTTCTTTCTTCCTTCTCCTGCCTCTCCTCCTCCTCCTCCTCCTCCCCTCCTCCTCCTCCTTCCTCCTCCTCTCCCTCCTCTTCCCCTCCTCCCCCTCCCTATCCTCCCTCCTCCTCCCCTCCCTCCTCCCTCCTCCTCCTCCTCCTCCTCATCCTCTCCTCCTCCTCCTCCTCCTCCTCCTCCTCCTCCTCCTCCTTCCTTCCTCCTTCACTCATCCTCATCCCTCCTCTCCTGCCTCCTCCCCTCCTCCTTCCTCCTCCCCCCTTCCATCTCCTCCCCCTCCCTCTCCTCCTCCTCCTCCTCCTCCTCCTCCTCCTCCTCCTCCTCCTCCTCCTCCTCTCACCTCCTCCTTCCACAGGGCGAGGCTCGCCGTCGAGCGGCGGTCCCCGTCCCCATGGCCCGCAGCGGTGGCTCTCGGGCCCCGCGAGGGCCAGCCAGAGACTCCAGGGCCAGAGCCAGCCCCGAGAGGGGGAACCCGACCGGACACCTCGTCCCCTTCCGCCCCGAGAGGGCCCCCGAGGCCGCCCGCGCGGGGCAGGGGGGAGACGTCGAGAGGCCTGCGGGGGCGGACGAGCCACGGCGTCGGAGGGCGGGGCCCGCCCACGCGCCGACGTCGGCAGCCCCGGCGTCGGCAGCCGCGCTGCCAAAGCTTCGGCGATCCCCTCTCTCGACTCCTTCTGCACTTCTCCTCCTCCCGCCCCTTTGGTGGGTGGAGCTCGCAAGTTCTCCGCCACCTCTGGCGGTGTGCGCTGCGAGCAGGGGCGCGGCAACGCCACAGGAAGGAAAGCGCGGCATTGACAGTGCAGCCCCGCCCACGTGGCGACTGTCAACGAGCAGGAACACAGCAAAGCCCCAGGAGAGCGAGGCATTGATAGTGCAGCTCAACATTGACGCGGTGGTGGCCGGGGAGCCCCCCCTGCTCCTGCTCCTGCCCCTCAGGGATAGAAGAAGAAGAAGGATCGGCGTTGCGCGCGGTCTGTGTGTCGATCTTGCAGCAGGCGGGGAGGATAGGAACCCAGACCTCCGACGTCGTGGTTTGTCCAATCCCGAGCATTTTCTTCTTCCACTCGGGCCTCTGGAAACACGTCCCGGACTCTAGGACAACCCCAGAACGGCTCAGGATTGAAAACGGGCACAGGGGAATGCGTCGGGAGTTCCAGGGACAGAGCATTGAACAACTCGTGACGTCCGATGTCTGGGAGCACGATGAGCTCCCTCCTCACAGGTCTTTGTTCGTGTCGACAGCCAACATGGAGATCTGATCCTCTTCCTCCGCGGGGGCGGGGGGCGTGTCTTCGAAGGGTACGGCGGCCTCCTTGTGCAGCCAGTCGATCATGGCACTGATCGTCTGCTCGCCCTTCAGTATGTCCCCCATGAACTCCACTGCCTGGAGGTGCGCATCGTTCCAGAAGGGGACTTCCTTGCTCGCGGGCACCTGCTTGCCGTGCGCAGGGAACAGGGCGACCGTCGGGAAGCGTTTCGGCTGCGCAATCCCGTTGCGGGACGCGTCAATCCAGGCGAAGTTCAGGGACTTCACGTGCCCGAGCCTGGCGGCGACACGCTTATACTCCTTCTTGAACTGCGCGCACCACCCGCAGCCGTCCGCATACCAGTAGACCAACGTGTCCTTCTCGGGGTCCTTCGTAACCTGACCAGTTTCATAACATCACTTCGCAGCGCGGCTAATGCCGCTGTGCGAGAGGTGGGGGAAGGACTCAAGGAACACACACACACACTACGATGATCATGACGATGCATTGTATTGGCGATGCTGCTGCTGTTAATGGTGGTGATGATGATGCTACTGATGGTGATGATAATGGTGATGATAGCAATGATGATGATGATGATGCTGATGACGACGATGATGATGATGACGTTGATGATGCTGCTGCTGATGATGCTGATGCTGCTGCTGATGATGGTGATGCAGATGATTATAGTAGTGGTGGTGGTGGTAATGATGAGTCTGATGATAATAACGATGATGCTGGTAGTGAGGATGATGATGATGATGATGATGATGATGATGATGATGCTGATGATGATGACGATTCTGATGTTGATGATGAAGATGATGCATCTGATGATTGTGAGACTGCCGATGATGCTGCTGCTGATGATGTTGATGAGGTTGTTGGCACTGCAGATGATGAAGCTGATGTTGTTGGTGTCGTTGACGATGCCGACGAAGGTGAGGATTACGACACATGCAGGACTAAGCTGGTAGCACTTTTAAGCATGGTTGGGCTGATGCTGCTGCTGATGATGATGCTGATGCTGCTGCTGCTGCTGATGCTGATGCTGATGCTGATGCTGATGCTGATGCTGCTGCTGCTGTTGCTGCTGTTGCTGTTGCTGCTGATGGTGATGATGATGATGATGATGATGATGATGATGACGATGACGATGACGATGACGATGATGATGATGATGATGATGATGATGATGATGATGATGATGATGATGATGATGATGATGATGATGATGATGATGATGATGATAATACGTGGAGGCTGCTGCAACTCGAAAGCTCGAAGGAGGATGTGGGATGTCCCCAGAATCCTCGAGAGGTCCGCTTGGGTTTCTTGGATCGGCGCTGGACACCCCTCCCTGGCACGCACAGTGCGCGAAGGGTGGCGCTGGAGGCGCTGACAGGACGGCCCAACGCCGACCCAAGAAATCCGCGCGGACCCCCGAACATTTACCTATGTTTGTGCCGTCTTTCCTTCTTCGAGAAAAGGTGCGGGGGTAGAGGCCTCTCAAATGGGGTCCGAGTAGATGAGGTCGGAGGATCGCGCTGCACCGCCAATGCATCGCCGATGCATCGCGCTGCTTCGGCGATGCATCGGCGCCGTCGGCGTCGAACAAGTCGGACTCCACATGGCGCCGCATCGCCGACGCATTGCCGATGCGGCGCCAACCCTCCCACCCCATCGACCCTTAGGTCGGGTATGCCCCCCTACAGGCGGATTTTGGACGAAAAATAAAAAAAATTAAACATAGTTTAAACATATTCAAAACATTGTTTCATACTATTTTTGGACTATTTTTGAATATTCCTCCTGTCGAGGGACAGGCCCGACTTCAATCTGCCCTGGCCCCCAAATTTGGGAGGCCTGGAGTGGGGAGGGTAGGGGGGCGCGACCTTGTCGAAGTTGAGCCCCACCAGCTGCTGGACGCCCCCGTCGCGCTCGCTCTCCGCGGGTGGCAGCGGCTCGCTGAGCTGGCCCTCGGGGCGCAGCCGGCCCCCGAGGAAGTCTTCGGAGAACTCGAGCACCGCCTGCCGTGTGATGTTGCCCCGGAAGCGGAAGGAGTGGAAGTCTGCCTCGCAAGGATCGCCATTCAAGAGAGGGGTCCTGAGGGAAGCGGGTGCTCGAGTCGCTGTTTTTGCCCTCCAGGGGGGCTCTCCCAAGCTCAGGGGCCGTCGAAAACGTCTCGGGACGAACAGCTGGTCCTTGGGAAAGGCCCTGGGGTCCAGGACCCGTATCCCTCAGGCGGGGGCGCATCGTGCACTCGTTGGAGCCTCCGGGGGCCTCCAGGGAGCCTCTGGGGGCACCAGGCATGCAGTTCGGCCGAAGGCCCTCCATCATACACGAACGCACCTGAGGACTGGGAGTCGTCTCGCCATCTGCTTGGGGGCTGCTCCGGGCCAGCCGTGGTGGCAGTGTCAAGCTCGAGACCGCGGGCCGCAGTTATATAGCATAGCAAGTTGGACGCAGAAGCTCGGCCCAGCTCTGGAGGTGGTGGAAGCCCCCAAACTGCAACCAGGGCTCCACGCTGTCTCCTGGAGGAGGCCGGCGAGACGAGCAGAGCTCCGACGATGGGAGACTGTTGCGGCTGACACCGCGCTGACCTGGCCAGGTGCAATTGACTTCCACCGATCCTCCAGCGGGGGTGGGAGCGAGCGCGCTGCCATCCGGGGATCCAGCCCTGAGCAGGGCGGCGCGGCGGGGCCTCGGCACCAGAACCTCAGCTCTCGACGCAGTCCAGCCGCCCTTCTCTCCCTCCGCCGTGAGGTCGCTGGGCACTCCGGGTTTCTTATTGAGCGTCGGGGGGCGTCACCCCCGCCGACAGCCCCACGTCGACCCCCGTCGCGGGCAGCCACCGCGCGCCGAAGGCGCTCCCATCCCCGTCGGGGCGCGACGACGATGCGAGGTTGATCCCCGTCGGAGCGCGATGGCGATGCGAGGTTGACCGCTAATCAAGAAGCCCAGAGTATGTAGGCCTGCTGGGGCTTGCCGGCCTGCTGGCAGCGCCGCCCTCGGGCAGGCGCTCGTCGCCAGCGGCCGTCTTCGCGGCGAGGGCCGCTGGCGGCGGTGGGCACGCCGCGGGGCGAAGGCCCCGCCCCAGCCGAGGAGGAGGCTGCCTTGGAGCCGGCTAGGGGGATGAGGTGGGGCATCACCTGTTCCAGCCTCTGGGGAAGGGGAGGAGCACCAACGTACACGGGCTTCGTTCCCTGCCCCCTCGATGACTGCCTTCCCCAGATGGGCACGGGATGTCGAGTTGGCCCCCTCTCCCCCTCCCCTCCTGACGGGGTCTTGCCTGTGCCCATCCAGGGCAGAGCCCCCGGCCGCCTCCAAAGACTGACGCACCGGCAGCTCCGGCCATGGCCTCGCGGCAGCGGCAGGCGTGGCCGCGCCGGCCACCCGGAGCAAACCCAGAGTGCGACGCGCAGACCTCCAGCGGGGGCCCAGACCCCCGACCTCATGCTCTGTGCACAGCGTCGACCCCCTCGGAGGTTGCGACCCAGTCCCCAGGACCGGCTCTTCATCCCGAGCCGTGCTCTGACGGCCCCGCGGACCGGTAGCATGAAGTCGGGCGAGTCCCCCTACAGGGGGATCTTCGACGAAAACTAAGACACCCCCCCCAAATGCTCCCAAATGGCCAAAAATGCTCACAACATAGTCCCCAGACTATTTGTTGGCTATTTTTGATCATCCCCCCTGCAGATGGACAGGCCCGGCTCCGCCGTGGCCTTGCCGTGCCGCGAGGGGCGGGCGGCCGCCCCGGCGCGACGGCTTCGCCGCAGCTCGGAGGCCGCATGCCGACCGTCTCTCGCCGCACCGGCCCCGCAGGCGTGCCGGGAGCGGATCTCCGCGTGGGCTCCCGCCAGGTGCGGCGAGCGCAAGACGAGAAGAGCATCGCGTAGATATTCTTTCGGGTCTTTCTTCCTGGCCAGGAGCAAGATCCGCACGAAGTTCGCCTCGAACTCCGATGCGAAGTTCTCCAGTACACCCCTGGCCCCACCCTCTATCGTCTTCCCATCGAAATCCGCTCTGCGATGTCGGCGCCGTGGCCATATTGCAGTTCTAATCTGGAAGCTTATCCTGGGGAACTTCGCAATGAAGGTCAGGCCACGACGCAGGTCGTCAAGTTCAGAGACAAGGTTGTGCATCTTAACCCGTGCGACGGCTTCGCAGCAGCTCGGCGGCCGCATTTGAGCAGCGACCGACCGTCCCGGCATTCCTATTGTCCTACCACGAAATGTTCTTAGAACCCAAACATGTTCTAAGAACAAAAACAAGGTTCCTAGAACATAATGCCCATGTGCTAAGACAAGACACAATCTCCGCCAGACATGTTCTAAGAACATGTCGTGGGAACCCACAAGAGGTTCTTAGAATGTTGCTCGGTATGGCAATAGGCGAGCCAGGACGCTTCGCCACTGCTTGAGCGACGGCTTCGCAGCAGCTCGGCGGCCGCACGTCGACCCATCTCGGGTCGGGCGAAAGGGGGGGATAGCAAAGGGGGGGTTTGAGAATCAGCTCACGTAGCTGATTTTCCCGGCACCTCCCGGCGCCGGAGGCGGCTATGTATCGAGGAATGGGCCCCTCGGTGAGGCCGAAACCAGCTGCATGCAGCAGATTTCGTACCCCCCCCTTTCCCAATCCCCCCCTTTCGTCCGGCCCGACCATCCCCGGCACCGCCTCTGCAAATCCCTTGCGGCTCGGCCTCCTCGGAGGCCGCCCGCGCCCCCCGGCCGGCACGCCGCTGGCCGCCGGGCGCGCGCCGCCCGCTCCTGCCTTTCCGGGCGCTCCGACCTGGCCCGCGGCACTGCCGCAGAGACTCTGAGCATCGTCTATGAAGGGGCCCTGGGACACACACAAAGAAATACACACACACAAATCACAGGATGCCCCACATTCTCCCATATTTTCTGGGTTCCTGTCTTCCCCCCCGCTTCCCGTATGTTCCCATATTTTCTTGGGAATCGAGGATTAATTGTGTCTGTGTGTTTTTCCCCTCCTGAGTTTAACCGATCCCCTTGCAAGATCCTGCAGGATCCTGCAGGATCCTGCACCCGAGCCCTGGTCGGTGCGAAGGATCCTGCAGGATCCTTCAGGATCCTGCGCCCAGGCCCAGGTCAATGCGACCCTGCCCCTGCAGTGACCATCGTCTAACAGATCCCCATCCCCAGCGGCGTGGCCTGGGCCCCACTGGCCGATTTGCCCTCCTAGGTGGGGAGATGGGCCGTTCCCTTCGGGCTTCGAGGGGCGTATCCCCAACTCGGGGGTTCATTTTTGTTTGGGGTCTCGAATGGGATGGGGACGGGGATGGGGATTGGTTAAACGATGCCGCGACTCCGCACCGCCTCCTGGAAGGACTTCGGTCAACCCGTATCACAAGGACGCGCGACAGGGATGCAGGGGCCTGGGAAGGCCAGGCCGACGCTCTGCGACCGGGGCGCGGCCAGCCACAGCGGCCAAGGACGGGCCGACGGGGAAGGATGCAAGCGGACAAGCGCGCTCCACTACTCGCAGAGTAACTACTTACAACTGGCCTGGATCCGCGGCGGGGCTTGTACGATACACTATATGGAGGAAGACATGCTGTAGTTTCGGACGTTTGCGGGTAGGCACTCTGCGAGTAGTGGAACGCGCCCGGTGAGCAAGGGCAGCACCGGAACATCGCTCATCCTTGCTATGCGGGGGGGTGATTTCTTGCTGACGTTGAAGACGCGCCTGCTCTGCCCGCTCAGAAGCCGCAGGCCTTCCAAGGTGTCTCTGACCTCCTCCTCGTCGCCGCGCGCACGGCCGGCCTGGCTGCCTCCGCGTGTCGTGCCGCCCCCCCGTTCCCTGCTGTCTTGCGCGCCCTCTCTGCGCTGCCTGATCGCGACCGCCCCTGGCCAAGGGACCCCACAGCATCTCCAGGCGCACGTGCCTGCGATCCGTCCGCTGCCGCGTTCCGCATCACGAGCGCTCGAGCAGTGCCGGCACTGGCGGCGGAGGGAAGGAACTTCGCGAGCCCTGTACCGAACTCATGAACCCGCCCTTTCTGGCTCGCGAGCTCCCCATCCATGCGCTCGACGGTGCCCCAAGCTCGCTTTGGAAGCTTTGTCGCGCCTGGCTCCTGAGCTCCTGGCGGGCCTCGTCGACCTGCTCCCCAAGGAAGCTTTGCCCGAATGGGTGCCTACTTTGAGGTCGGGCATGTCTCCCTACAGGCGTATCTTGGACGAAAAATGAAAAATACCCCAACAGTGCTCAATAATGGTCAAACATAGTCGAAACATCGTCCCCAGACTATTTTTAGACCAGTCTTGAAGATCCCTCCTGGAGGGACAGGCCCGACTTACGCCTACTTGGCCCGCCCAAGAAGCCTT